CACTACAGGACATTAACACTGCACTGAGAGAGAGGGCTAACAGAATGGATGAGGCAGAGATGGCGAGGTTACCTGGAAGCCTGTTGATGAGCCAGGTAAGCTGTTTTTTGGAAATGCTGGTCCAGCTGAGGTCCAGGATGATGGGCTGGCGCTTGATGATGCCGGACAGAGCCTGGGGGCTGACTGACCGACAGCGGCTCAAGTCGATTCGTGTCCATAAGCGCTTATCACAGGTCCTGGATTAACAGCACAACACTGGGTCAGGGCACAGCACTACAGCTCTTAATGGAGTCACAGCAGCCTTTCCATCAAGTGCAAACTACAGGGAAGAGGACTTAAAGCTGAGAGAAGAAACAACTGGATAAGATCCTCAAATCAAATAGCTACTAACACCCAAACAGGCTGGACAGGCCAAATTGCCTCCTCTCCTTGGCAACCCTAATCCCAAAAACAAGAAAATAAGATACCTGAGAGCTACTAGATCACCAGGTGTAGAGAAACATAAAAGAGCCAAAATCTTTTCTCTCCCCAGTATTTGTGGGGAAACTGCGCAAGTCAGCACACCAAGCCCACAGCCCAAGATGACAAACCGAGCCCACACCTCACTCTTTCTTAATCAATTACGACACAAGAGAACACAGTGAAAGTGCTGCTCCTTCAGTACTACAGCAAGCTGGCTCAATATGGCAGATGTAAAGTCAATAGCACATTGCGCACTCTCCAAGAGTGCTAGACACACCAGGCAAAAGAGAACCGGAGGAAACACAAAGCACTACAATCCCCCACCCAGCTACAGGAATTAACAAACACCATCACCTGGACAGGCATCCAGCCAGCCCAGCCTAGCCCAATCGCACCCAGCCACTCTCTGCCCATTATACACAGCAGAGCCACCACGCCATACCCCGCCCATCATGCACTGCAAAGTTCCACCCATTATACACTGAATCTCCACCCATTATACACTGAATCTCCACCCACCCAGTCAAGCCCCACCCATTATACACTGAATCTCCACCCACCCAGTCAAGCCCCACCCATTATACACCGAATCTCCACCCACCCAGTCAAGCCCCACCCATTATACACAGAATCTCCACCCACCCAGTCAAGCCCCACCCATTATACACAGAATCCTCACCCACCCAGTCATGCTCCACCCATTATACACTGAATCTCCACCCACCCAGTCAAGCCCCACCCATTATACACTGAATCTCCACCCACCTAGCCACCTCCCACCAATCATACACTGCAAAGCTCCACCCATTACACCGTGATGCTCTGTCCCAGCCAGACCTGCCCCGCCCTGTTGCGCCCAACAACCCTCTGCCTACACCCCCCTTGCCTGCGACTCACCATTTGTACCAGCTCTTGCACACAGTCATGCAGACGCACAACTCAGCCCGGGTCAGGTAGCGGAACACCGACACCCACACCTCCTTCTCACAGCCCGGCTCGCTGCCCCCGTCCTGCGCCATGAGGAACGACGAGGATGAGGAGAGCGTGGGAGGGGGGGAAGAGGAAGCGGAGCCCCCGATCCTCGATCCTGCGAGCGCCGCGGAGAGGGTGTGAGAGAGCTGGGAAGAAGTCTGCTGGTGACCGTGGTGATTGAATGAGGGGTGGCTGGAGCCAGCGACGCAGTCGGGGCGACTGTCCCCTCGCTCCCTCCCTCCGTCCAGCCTGCAGACCACAACTCGGGCCTCCGACACCCCAAGCTCCGAGTGCCTGGGTGTGGAGAGGGATGGCTGAGCAAGGGGGGAGTTACTGGAAAAGTTTCGGGAAGCGCGGGACGATGAAGACCTCCTTTCGGAGTAGGGGTCGGGATTTTCAGACGCCATTAGTCCAGCCCTCGACTTTGGCCTGTGTAGGGACTTCCTTTGGATGTACCCCTGGTTGAGTTGTGTCCCTGTTTTGGGGGAGACGGCCTCCAGCTTGGGGACGATGGAGCCAGGGTCCCTTTTGGAGCGTGTGGGGCGCTGGAGAGTGACGGTGAGGTAGGAGCCGTTCAGCAGGGGGTCGTCGCTCAGATCCGACACCAGCAGCACGGGCGGGTCGGGCTCCGAGTCCGAGTGGGCCTCTCCGTCCTCCCCCTCGTCGTCCTCCTCCACCCCTTCCATCTCTTCCTCCTCGCGGTCTTCGTCATCGGAAGGGTCTCTGCTGGACTTGTGCGGCCTGTTCTCCTTGCCGTGCGACGAGACGCCCCCGAGGCGGTCGCGCTCGCCCTCCGAGAGGCCGTCGTCTGTCCGCCGGGCCTTGCACTGCTGCCGGCGGCGGAAGCGCGCCCCCCGCTGGCTCTCCTCCTGCCTCTCGCCCTCCCTTTTCAAACCCCCTCTTCCGCTGTTGCGCCGGGAGACTAGAGAGGAGGGTCGGCCCAATTTGGGAGGGCGTCCCCAGGTGCCCCGCCTGCCGGTCCCCCTGTGCCGGGTGTCGGAGGCGGCGAGCGCCGGGGACAGCCGGGAGGAAGAGCGCAGGCGGGAGGAGGAGGA